GCGAAAGACGCGAGTACCTTGTTTTACCTTTTGAGCACCCTAGGAAAAGGGGCCAATGAGGTTCCATTTCTACCTGTACTTGAATCAAACAAGGACAGCCCCACCTTGATCTCTTTGATGATGCTTATGCCCCTTCAGTAGACAACATTGGGGTTATGTTGGGGTTATATTCTGAGATAATGGAAAATGAAATGGAAACTACTATTTAGGGTTTAGGGTTTAGGGGTATAGTCCCCCTTAAGTAGATAGAATATGGCTTTGGGTATATTACTATAACATCCCCATATATCCCATAGTCTATCTACTAAAGCCGGACTATAGGGTTTGGCTAGACAGTAGCTGGAGACGTAATACCTTATTGATAATACTAGGATCTCCGATCAGGAGTTATGTGGGATTTTCCTTTCGACTCGTGTCGACTCGTGCATGCTCGCATTGACTGAGAAGTAGGATAGGCATAGATATGAGTCATAGTCTAAACTCCTAGTACCCCCCTTAATAACCCTTACAGTAGTCTTCTCTAGAACCCCTTCTATAACCCCATTTCGGGAGTTTGCACTATAGCTCATGTCATCGAATCACGCTGTAACTACAGGGCCGACGGGGCCATAGAGCCCCGTGGCGTTTGCGGCTTTGAAGCCTCGAACCCGCATGTAAATCGTTTTGAGGGTCAAGCATACATGTCTTATTCATGGTGGCTTCCTTGCAACTTTGCCAAAACCACGCCAAAACCGAGCATATCACGGATTGCGCGCTTCCAGAGCCGCGGCGGTGTGTGAGTCAATGTGACCGCGCCCAGCCCCCTTCTCTACCCTGCAACCAATGCTCCAAAGCCTAAACTCTTTCATTTTTTCGTAAGTACAAAGGCCCTGAACCTGTTGAAACCCGATGGTTTTCTGTGGCCCGTGAGCCAATTATCCATGAGTCTCCATGCTGATAGAATGTGTATCCACCTCCATATCATCCAACGGAAGCTGAGGCAGACGTTCACGTGATCTCCTATGAACAGCAACCCTATACAGCAGTTGCAACCAAAAACCCGAAACCCCAAACCCTAAGTCCTACATGATGTTTAATTTCAAACCTAAAAAGCCCGATACTCTGCCAGATTCCAGGTCAGTTTCCATATGATTTTTCCCTTACTTGGGTAGCAAGCCTCATCCACAAATGCTTACGTATATGATCCTTTGTTCAGCCCTAAACCCCACAATTCCCTGTATAATCCCTACTAAGTCCCGTTGAAGGTCCAGGGTACTGATAACCCAAGTATGGCCGTATTTTTAACTCAATTAGAAGCCCTCTAAGTCCCCTAATATGGTCCATAGTTCGCGTGAACCTCCAAGTACAGAAAGGTCCTTTGGGCAGATGATTAAGGGTTCCCTCAGGTCTATAGGGGAATATGTAATAGGCAAATTATCTTCCATGGAGGCCATTTTGGGACCAGGGCTTTTGATCAATTACGATCAATTACAATCAACGGAAGGACCTGGGCAACATCGGTACCTTTGGCTTTCGCGGCGAAGCGCTGGCTTCGATAAGCCATGTGGCGCACGTCACGGTCACCACCATGACCCTGGGTCATTATCTTTCAAAGTTAGGGTGTAGTGTTTAGGGTTTAGCGGTTGAACGGTTAAGAGTTGAAGGCTTAAGGTTCATGATGTGTTTACTTTTTGATTGCAGATAGCCCAACGAGGAAGGAACAACTAGGCTATAGTGTACAGTTTGTTCAATTACTGTGGTGATTCTTTTTTTAATGTAATGTGATGTTTCTTAGTAATGCCACACAAGGGAACCAGTGACGGGTTCTGAGAGAGTTTGTTAAGGAATTGAGGGTAGGGCTCTGGCTGTTGAGTTGATATGTGTTTTGGATTTGGGGTGTAACTGGGACCCCCCCACCCCCACCGCGTAATAGGGATTACAAGGGACAATGGTGATTACGTTCAGGTCCTCCTTCATTCCGATAATACAATTATTACGGGGTGGAGGGTCTGCCTAGCAAGTACCCTTTGTCATGCCACACTTCCAGACTTAACTTATTTTTTGAGGGGTTTCGCGATGTGTCCAGAAGTAGTGTTGCATGCCTGCCTTTGGTCTCTATGGCTTGTGTGTGTAAACTGGGCTTATGGTTTAGGGTCATTATAGTATCCCCCTGTAATGGAGAATCAAATGGAAAAGAACATGGAAAATGACATGGGAACTGGGGAATAAACCCTAAAGTAGGCCCTAAACCCTAAGCCCTTAAACCCCTAAACCTTTAACCCTAAACCTTGAAGTTTAATCGTGTTCCAAGTAGTCCTCAAATGGTGGAAGTCTGGAAGCTCCGAACCCTTTATCGGGTTGCTGTTAAGAAACTGAAGCTAAGATACCATAATGGGTATATATAGTAAATATTTGGGTTTCCCCAATAAAGTAACTTAAGATTAAGTTCCTTAAATCCCTATTTTTCCCCCAGTTTCCATTTTGTTCTCCATGTTCTTTTCCATTGGATTCTCCATTATAGGGGGATAATATAGGTACTTCAATCAAGTTCCTTTATTAACAGCAACCCAGTGCCTAAACCCTACACGGTTTAGGGGTTTAGGGTTTAGGGTTTAGGGTTCTGCAAGGACAAGTGGTGACGAGTGCGCACGCGTGGCTCACTACAGTGAAAGCAAAATGCAGGGTCCGGCGAGACCTTGTGCCGGGACCCGAGGGACAACGATTGTTGTAGAGGAAACTTGGCCGGCTTCAGACTGGCTCCTAGAATATTAGGGTTATATATTTTTTTTTTTTTATAGGGATAATGGAAAAGAAAATGGAAACTACTATTTATGGTTTAGGGTTTATAGAACATCAACTTTTTGGGTCCAAAGTTTTTATAATGTTTCGGGTTCAGGGTTTAGGGCTTAAGGTTTAGGACTTAGGGACTAGGGTTTAGGATTTAGGCCATAAACGAAAGGCCCTATGTATACTGTCAGCGAAGGAAATGTTCTACAACAACCCTACGAGGAAACAGGCTCTGAGCCTGTGGCAGAGTTGGACAAGGTTTTCTATGTAGGGGTTTCTGGGCACGGCTCTTTTCTTAGTCATCTGGAGTATCACGTAAAACCCTAAGCTCCCGACCCTAAGCCCTAAGCACCAAACCCTAGTGCGGAAGCCTGGATCATTATCAATGATATAATTCCTTGTGATCCCTACTATGAGCATGCACTCTCCACTATGCACCGACAATGAGTCAGGAGCAAGGAGAGCATTGAGCATGCGAAGGTGCTCGAAGCAACTTGGCTTCGATTCAACAGGGTTGTCGGGTTTAGGATTTAGCAACACGGGCTAATGTGGGGATGTGATGGGGCCCAATAGTTTTGAATCAGAGGGAAATAAGTTTGAACATGAAATGGAAACTCGAATTGTCTAGGGGCTTATAGAGTCTAAGATGTTCCATTGGCCTATTCGCAGGGCTGAAGCGTGTCTTGTAGAAGAAGCTATTAACACTTAGGTTTTAGTGTCTAGGTGTTAGGATTTAGGTTTCAGGGAAGCTGAATAGTTGCAATATTGTGCTCCCAGATTCCGTGCCTAGGTCTGGTATAGGGTATATACCTCAGGAAGATCTCAAGAAGATGTTGGTAGTTGTCTACGCCCGTACAGTAAGTCGCAGGTTGCCAGCTGGTATAGAAAGACTCCTTTTTTTTCTGGGGGACTGACTCAGATTTTGCCTTTCCAAGTGCCCTGAACCCTAAAGACCACAGCCTGGCCCCTAAGCCTACAATTGTTGTGCCGTGGTGGTAAGGTCCTCTTCAGGTTAGACAGAACAGGTAGAAAGAGGGATTCTACGGGTTTCGGGCTGAAGTTCTTCTACTTAGACATCTCCCCATGCACGCTAGTGTCAGGTATGCTCCCAACATCTTTCTGTTTTAATAGCGCCTAGTTGCTATTGACAGGCGAGCAGTGTGTGTAATATTAGTGGAACTTATTTGTGATGGATGGAGGATAGATTGCAGGTTCACCAACCTGAGTAAACAATTTAGAATAAGTTGAAGTTATAAGGAAACCACCATATCAGTCGCTATACATTCTGATTGTGGTAGCTTAGTCTAAGTCTAAGTTCCTGAACGGCAACCCAGCAGCCACTTCCCGAAAGAATATCCCTCATATGGCTCCCCCCTTAGTCACGCGAATTCACGGTCAATTAAGGCTAATAAGGGGAACTTGGGGGTGGGGCGGGGATGTAGAGGGCAGTAAACAATCCGCGCCAAACTGCAACAAGTGCAGCGGGGGTCGTTCGGGAAGCCATGATTCGAAGCCACCAAGGTAATACAGCGCTATGCGATCCACTACCCCAAAGTTGGGTTCAGCTGCAGAAGCTCATGCATTGTTGAGTTTGGGCTTCAGGGTAAAGGGTTTTTTGGGCTTAGGTTTCTGAGGTTTTGGGCTGAAGGTTGAATTGTTTTTTTGGGTTCTCGGATTCAGGGTTGAAGGTTGAAGAGTTTTGGGGTTTGGGTTTCGTTTTCTCGGGCTTGCGGCTTGTGGTTTCAGGTTGTTCGGGTCTTGCAGTTCAAGGGACTGTTGAGCCATTCTTGCAGGGCTGATTCCATTGGGTAAGTTGTACTGCAAGCGTACCAACCATGAAGTGGGGCGTTCCCGAACTTAGGGATCCCTTCTTGCGGTCCCCATAGTAAGGACGATCGTATAGTATATCGGGGTCTGCGGCCGGGGTCTCCTTTTTATGGACACTATGTACCATATGATCCCTGTATATCCGTGCAGATAGTAGCTTCCATGTCACTTTCCATTTCATTCTCCATGAGTTGGGTACTATCCTTGAACCCTAAATCCTAAAACCTATATAACCGCTATATATCCCTGTGTGACAAGTAATCCCCATATAACCTTTCTAGGACCACCACTAAAACCATCTAAGCCCTGAACCCTAGATTGGGGCCCCTGGAAGCGTGAATTCTAAAGCCAGAGCCACAGAACCCTAAACCTCAAACCCTAAACCCTCCTAAACCCAGACCCCCAAGCGTTCTCAAATAAATTCACTCCGCAAGCGGCAAAACTCAGAGCACCCCAGGGCTTAGGGTTCAGGATTTAGACCCTAAACCCGAACCTAAAACCTATAGTCCCCCTTAAGTAGATAGAATATGGCTTTGAGCCTATTATAATAAGATCCCCATATACTCTATATTCTATCTACTTAAGGGGGACTATAAACCTAAACCCCGTACTTCAATTGTTGGATGGTGGTTGGCAGCTAGGAAAGAACAGCAGTTCCATCTCGGAGCTTACGACTGTTGGAGGGGAGGACGTCACAACCCAGGGCGTCATCTCCACCATCTATGGGTGGCTGGGTGAAGTTTAGGGTTTAGGGTTTGGGGTTTGAGCTGTTATATAAGGTACTGGGTTAAGGCAGTACATGGCTGCGGTTTTAAGCTTCGTCACCCGAAAACTAGAAGGATCGCATGCTTATTTGCCCTGAGGGCCTATGAGCTCATCTCTTTGGGACACCCGTATACAGAAAACATGGTCGACATGATATGGTTTTCAGGTCTCACAGTTTATGCCCTTTTTCTGGCAGCTCGGGTTTGGAAAAGTATGCGTTTTGGAATAACAAGGGTGCTTTCTCATGCCGGACGGGCACTGCAAGAAGCTACAAAGCCTTCCAAAATGAAATGCTCAAACCTCATGAGGAATAGCACTGTTCATCACTCAGAATATGGGTGGTTGTCAAAATTATGATCCCTTTTTGGGTACCCTAAATATTAGGTGCCGTATTATAATAGGGATCCAAAAGGGACCATAATTTTGACAACCACCTGTATTGAAAAAACAGTGGCCCAGGCAGAATTTGGCAAGGGAGCTCTTCCCCTTCTCGCTTGCCTCCCAGGACCCCAAGTTTTCCTGTTCTGGCTTCTGTACTGTCCTTAGGAATTATTTTATGTAGGTAGGGGTTTATAGGGTTATATTGGGGTATCCTTAGAATTACTTGTAATTTTTTTTAATTTTAGTAAAACCCTAAGAAAATGAAAGTAGTATCTGTCTTATAGGTCAAAGCAAACTATAGGCTTTGCATCAAGCCCGAACTACACATCTCGGTCCCTGACGCTCATCCTCTTCATCAACAACCGGCTGGTGGAATCAGGGCCCTTGAAGCGGGCCATTGAGGCCGTCTACCAAAGTGTGCTGCCGGGTTGCTGTTAAGGAACTTAAATCAAGTTACCATACTGGGAATATATATATATATAGTAATTGATATGGTTTCCCAAATATAGTAACTTGAATTAAGTTCCTTAAGCCCCTAGATTCCCCCAGTTTCCATTTCATTCTACATGTTCTTTTCCAAATGATTCTCCATTATAGGAGGATCATATAGTACCTTAAGTTAAGTTCTTTAACAGCAACCCAGGCTGCCACGCCATCAGCACCCTTGGGTCTACTTGGCCCTAGAAGTGAACTCTGCTTCCATCGATGTAAACGTCCACCCAACAAAGATGGAAGTGCAATTCCTGCACGAGGACGCTTGCTTATATGAGCCATAGTCTAAACTCCATTAAAGGGGGTTGTATAGGGGATTATATGGGGGACGACTATAGGGGTTATTGAGGGGATCTTAGGAGTTTATTAGATTATAGTTCATATTGTACTAAATTTTGGCATAGCATTCTTCCTCACGCATTCAATGGTCCCGTGACTCCCAGCCCCAAGTCAACAAGGAGACCATCTCCCAGAAGTTGCAAGAGACACTGCTCGCACAGCTTCAGAATATGGGCGGATCTAGGACCTTCATGTCAGCGCTACCTTCACCTGCTAAAGGCACGGCAGCCGTTCCCCCGGAGCGGGAGAGACCGGCTCTTCCGGTACCACCGGCTTTGCGACTTGCACCTCCAGCAGCGACGCGAGCGAGCGCTGCCGCAGCGCTCGCACGCTCAGAGGCTCCAGCAACGGCGTCTGCGGGGCCAGCTGCGCCTGCTGCACCGGTCCTGAATCCCACACGGGTGCGGACAGACTACCGACAGATGTCCCTGCAGTCGCTTCTAGAATCTCAGTCGGCATCGCAAGCAGCGCAAGCCTCTCAAGTGGCCACGCAGGCTCTTGCTCTGGTGCCCAGTGAGCCGGCAGGGCACGGCACACCCTCTGAGGCGCGCATGGCCGCCTACGAGGAAGCTCAGCAGCTGACATCCATTGAAGAGCTGAGGCAGTCCGTGGCCTCCGTTGCAGACGAGGAGCTGTCAGCCTCGTTGCAGAAGTCCGTCACCTGGCCGAAGCTTCAGGGCATGCTTTGCGTGCTTTCCTGCTCTTGCCTAGGGCCTTCCCTATCAATTGAGGATGCTTGTGGTGCGAAACTTGCAGAGGGTTTGCAGCACAAGCCCGGTGAGCAGTACTTCTATAGCTAGGAGGTAGGTTGTACTTCTCATAGTCAGACCTGTATCCTGCCTGGTGGTGCCAGCGTAGGTGTACGTGGGTCCGGTGACCCATGAGCTGGTGCTGGTTCAGTGTGGCTCCTCCCTTTGCATGATAAACCTTGCCATTCTTGCGCGGGAATGCGCCTACCAGCGCCTGCTGAGGCAACAGGGTCGGGGGCAGCGGAGTGGATCTTTGGGCTATTTGGGATCATCAGTTTGAGCAATGATTGCTCGGTTACGATGTTGGAGTACAGGGCATATGCCATGGGAGAAATTATAGCTTACAACGTTTGCCACCAAACAAGCCCATAACTACATGTTTGGCTGCCTAAAGCTGCTGTGGCGTATTTCATGTACTTCGAAAGTCCTTGGAAGCGTTTTTATCTGCATGTCCTGCTCAGACCCAAACTGCGACAGAGCCCCAATGACTTGACCTGCACTGTAACATGCTACGGGTATCCGATGAGGAGTTTGTTGCATCAACCTGCATTCGACTTGCTCTTGTGGGATGCAGTTGCAGAGAGGGGCCATTTCGCAAGCGCTGGCTGCACATGCAGGGCACGAAAAGGAAATCCATCATGACGACTAGGAAGACAGGGTCACAGCATGGACTGCAGTATGGGCCCCAAGCCCGTTTGAGAGGTTATGAGTGCCCGTAGATTTACAAATAGGCTCTTTGCTGGGCTTCTTATGTATTTGCTTCTAACCTCACTCTTAACAAGCCCAGCAAGACCGCTTCAAACTGCTCCAACCTGGTGAAAAAGTGTCTTCGCCTTCCCCTGCGGATGGTAATGGTATTGTGAAGGACTTAGCGCTGCCCGCAATTTTGCTACAGCAATAGCCATCTTGTACACGAGATGTTTGCAACAAACTGTCAGGATATAGTCCCCCTTAAGTAGATAGAATAATTATGGGGTACTATACGGGATCTTTTTTAATATACCCAAAGCCATATTCTATATACTTAAGGGGGACCATACAGCTGGCATCCGGCGGCAACCAAAACCTCCAGCCAAGTCGGCACCGCTAAATTTGCAAATGAACCATTCCTCAAGGCTCCAAGGGCCCAAGTAATCGCGGCTGTTTTAGGGCCCAAATACCATTCATATTATAGTATTTGGCCTAAAATCCTATTATTTGAGTCCCTGGACCCTTTGGGATTTGTAAGCCTTAAGCCCAAAGTCCCCATAAACCTCCAATCCCTAGATACGAAACCTTCCGCAAAAGCCTGCTTATGAGCCCCTAAGCTTGTACCTAAACCTCAAAGCTGCTGTAAATCTGAAGCCCCCTAGCCTCTAATCCCTTTAGGGTTTAGGGTATAGAGTTTGGCGTTTGGGGTTTAGGGGTTTAGCGCAGATGGAATCCTAAACTCAAGATTCTGAAGTGGGGCTCATCGGTTGGTTGTCTTGAGGAGTGTTGGAAGTTGGACCAGGTGCTTCTTACTTTGACATTGTTGGTACAACTGTGGTACTGATTCTGATATTTCTGGATTATGGGGCCGGCAAGAATATGATAAGGACACAAAACAAGCAATCTCCAACTCAACCAGTTGTGGGTGCAAAAGGTTCAGGATCTCAACCTCCGAATACTGTTGCTTCGGCCTTATGAAGCCTACCACGCTTCCAGCAGGGCCTACATTATAAGACATCCCGAATCCCTTATTCGTACAGCACCGTACCAAATCCCCTTCAGGCTTCTTATGCCCTAAACCCCTTTACAAGTTTTCAGTAACCACGGAAACCCAACCCCCAAATCCTCAACAGGCTCATCGGTGGAGTTGGCAGCATCACCCTGTCCGAGCCTGTACCCTTGCTGGAGCTGCTGAAGTTGGGCATTCAAGACACTCTGATTGAACTTTTTTAGGGGGCGTTGGGGGAGGGTCTAGGGTGCAGGATTTAGGGTTGTCCCAGAGTACACCGTTAGAACCTCTTCCCGTAATTTGATTTCCACGGACAGCATCCACCTCGCACTGAGCAGAATAGCTTTATTGGGTGGCCATTTTTTGCCCTAAACCCTTAACCCTAAACCCTTCACCGTGCCGTGGGAACCAAGGACCCGGACTCTGGCAACTGGGATGGCAAGCAGTGTACCTAGTCATGCCAAACCCTAAGGCTCCATGTAGGTATTATTTGTAGGGTTTAGGGCCCAATGTAGGTATTTTTTATATAGTTAGAGCCCCCAGGAAAGTGGCATCCCTTCTTTAATTTCAGATTCACGGTTTAGGCCTTGGTGTGGAAGAGTGTCTTCTAGGGACCAGAGTTTGATTACCGCGGGGTTCATATGGGTTTCCTAGCCATCGGGAACTTAGAAATGAGTAAGGATACACAACTTTTGCTCGTGATGAATATACTGTAGTATACTATAATATACAGTAGTATTTTGTACTATAATATATTTCTTAATTTGTAGTATAATATGTAAAAATGTATTACAGCATACTATATTTTCTATCTTCTGTCGTAGACTATAGTATACTATAATATACTATACTATAGGCTCACTGCATACGGAGAGCTCAGTCCGGCTGGGCTGCTGAGTTTTGTTGGTAATATTAGGGTTTATTTTATTGGGTTTATATTGGGATAATGGAAAAAATGGAAACTACTATTTCGGGTGCAGGGTGTAGGGTTCAGGGTGTAGGGTTTAGGGTTATACATGCGGGTTATTGCTGTATTGTATTAGCAATTGGCAATAGCCAAGTATTAGTACTTGTAATAGTAACAGAAGCAACTGTAGTAAAAATGACAAGAGTAGCAATAGTAGTAAGAGTAGTAGTAGATGGCTGAACATGGCTCCCAGTTGCAGAATCTCCCTGGGCTCCTTTCATGACTATTCGGTTTAGGGTTTAGGGTTTAGGGTTTAGGGTTTAAGGTTTAGGGGAGTCATGATTATCGTCAGTGTTGTTTTCTGGCATTAGGCATGGTATTGTTGCTAGCCACATAAACCGACTAAACCTTCATGAATCCCTAGACCCTAAACTCTGGACCCCAGACCCTTATGGTATTATTGCCATCCACACAAACCGACTAAACCTTCATAGATCCCTAAACCCTAAACCCCTTAACCCTAAACCGTAGACCCTGGACCCTAAACCCTATGGTATTATTGCCATCCACATAAACCGACTAAACCTTCATGGATCCTGGCGCGCGTGTTGCGGACATTGGACCAGCGCAGTTTCCAACACTGGTGGCTTTCCTGTGACACCCCGAGAATGTATATGCAGGAGGACACTTTACTGGGTTATTGTTAAGGAGTTTAAGTTAAGTTACCATAATGGGAATATATGGTAATTAATAATCTGGTTTTCCGAACATAGTAACTTAAATTCAACGCAGTTTAGCATGATGACCCAAGTATCTGTGTGAGCCTAATCACCATACAGCCCAATTTTGGACCCCAAGCCCTAAACCCTACACCCCAACTACGCTACCCTAAACCCTAGACCCCCAAACCCAACCCTCAACCCTAAACCTAAACCTTAAACCCAGGCTATGATCCAACGATTCATGGCTCTGTGGATACCGATGCCTTGGCTTCGCGGTTTCTGGCTTTGCTGCTGGAAAAGGCAGAGCTGCTCCAGGCCTACTTCATGTTTGAGATGCTTGGATTTACTTATACTGGGATGATGGAAAAGAAAATGGAGATAGGGTTTAGGGTTTAGGGGATAATGGACAAGAAAATGGAAACTACTATAGTACATTGGGGATATATTGGGATAATGGAAAAGAAAATGGAAACTACTATAGTATATTGGGGATAGGGTTTAGGGTTTAGGGTTAGTAGGGAGTAAGGGCACATTCTATGGGGATTATCTCGTGATCCTTACTCCTTACTACCCAAGGCAGTAAGTTTAGGAAAGGGATTATGTCGGGATGGGTATAGAGGGATATATGGGGCTGAGGATGTGGGGCTTTGGATGACTTATTGGTTTAAGGGTTGGGGCTTGCGGGCATAGCTTGGGGAGAGAGCAGATCTTTCGAATCGGTTCTGTCGTGCTTTCAGTTGCTTCTCCTTGCTATCTTGAGAAAAAAGGGATAACAGTGAGACTGCAGCCCTGCAGAACACTGTGGGAGTGCACAAAACAAAGGCTCCTATCATAATATCTAGCAAGAGGATTTTGGGTAACTCCGGCGCCCGAAACTAGGACACTGTAAGTGCAGTATCATCTGAGTATAATCGGATTCAATTTCGGGGCGTGGGGTTACAAAAAGCCTTTGATTAATGTCGAGGGTGTAGTAAAAGGAACTCACACCCAGCAGCAGGCCCAGCATCGATCTCTAGCGTGTGCGGCGGTTGTAGTAGGTTGCAAGATAGCTCTCGCTTAGACACCTTATAAACCCTAAACCCTATAGTCCCCCTTAAGTAGATAGAATATGGCTTTGGGTATATCATAAAAAGATCCCCCATATACCCCATATCCTATCTACTGCGGGGGGAACTACTATATCCCCTAAACCCTAAACCCCAAACCCTAAATAGCAGTTTCCATATTCTTTTCCATTATCCCTATAAAACCATATAAGCCCTACATCTACTTCAGGGGGAACTGTAGAGCCCCCAGTGCTTGGCCGGCTTCGTTGCCGCACCGCGCCTGGAACCTATTCATAAATGGCAGTTTCCCTTAACAGGGGGCCCCCAGACTCTTCACTACTGTTCTCCTACTTGCCCCTAAAGGTTCGGCACTTGCCCACGAAGTGTCAAGCTGTCAACATATGGAAGCGGGAATTGAGGGTTCAGGGTTCAGGGATATTATCATTCTCCAAATAATGGAGAATCAAATGGGACATGAAATTGGAATTACGTCTATAATTTTTAAAGGACTCTAAAGGGATATGTATATAGCAGAAGGGAAAAAAGTGGAAACTACCAACTATTAAGAAACAAACCAAAACCGGGGCCCTTGCTAAGAGACCCTTGCAGAGGCATGTGCATTAAAACTGGCTAATGGGGTCCCAACGAAGGGATCTATGGGGGCATGTTTGAGAAAT